GCCTTTCCTATCTGTATTTTTCTTGACCGGGTGTGAGCTGACTACTGTATATGTTTACATCTGCGAATTTAGAACTCAGTTAGAACTGCTATATTTCGGGTTTTACTTCTTTTTCACTTGCCAAATTCTTAATAGTAAAGCATTTTCTTGCATCAATTTCCTATTACAATTTTTATTTTTCGAGAAAGTATTGTATTGTGAGTTTGACGTCAGGGACACAATTGCATTGGCGGGCTCACGTTATGTTACTAATTATTTTCAATAGCTTGTTACTTTATCAATTTCGTCAACTTACAATATCTCCGATTTTACTGTTCTCTGCACTGTTGTCAGTCGGCTCCTAGTCATTGCCTTATCCTTTGTTTTCATTTAGATGACTGATCACACTTACTCGCAATTTTTCACGGCGGATGGTTTCTTGTCTCCATTGGACTGTTGATCCACACCAAGCTTTGGTGACGCTTGCTTTCGTCGCCCACTCCGTGCTGCTACTCTCTGCTTCGTTTGTGACGGGGGTGGTGGCGGCGGTGGCGGTAGATCCAGTTCGGCATTAGTTATGCCTAGTAAGGCCTCGTCATTCAAACTAGTGGAATATATGTTTTCGCGCGGCTTCATTTGCTTCGTTGTCTGTCTATCACGCAGACTGGCATCATCCTCAGATTTTGAGTACCTCCTTCTCAGCTTTGTTGCTGTTTTTGTTGTCTTTAACTTTGCCGCTACTTCGACGTATTTATCTGCCCTGTGCTCGAGTATTCTTTTCGATGGAATGCCGTGGATGCTTTGCTTCACTGCCCATCCATATCCGTGTGGAGACATAGGTAGATAGTTTGTGTTCTCAATTTGCGAGCGGTTCTCCGTATCCTCCCGTTCTTCACTTCCGGCGAACTGCGGCTCTGGCAGGTACGGACCTTGACAAATTCTCGCATTGTCTGTCTCATCTCTGTTACCACCAGTTGACATCGTCCATTCATATTTCGTAGTGTGTTTCCTCTTTCCTCGAGCACTGCTCTGTAACCAGCCAAATACAACGGCCGCCCTATACTTTTTCCATCTTAGATGATGATTACTATTGTCAGTGCTTTCTATGGTGTCTAAGTGTACCTTTAACCCAGTAGATTTGCCTAACTTAACACATTCAGAGCTTTTTTGATTTTTCCTGGCCATCATCTTACCTCCTCGAAAATGCATTAGTGTTTTTCCATGTGGTTTGTTTCTGCGTCCTGCTCGCCATGGAAAGACCGGAATGTAGTTCAATCCTTCCTGTGTCTGGGCTACGGGCTGCCCATATTTTACTCCCTGATTAGTACACTGCAGTTTTTGTTTGTCTTTCTCCGTTAGCAAACTGTTTCTAATTGCTGTGCTGCTTTTTGTCTCTCCATGGTTTCGGTTTGGTGGCATTGGTTCTAATCTCGACCAAGTTTCCATGTCCTTGACCTTGGATTTCCCATTCGACGCATTGTGAGTACTTACCCTTGTAGTTGTGTGTGGGCTGCATAAGTCTGAGCTATACTCCAGCTTATTCGTTGTGGACGTGACCGAATCTCCACTCTTTATCCTTTTGTGGGTCATATTCAGGCAGCTTTTATCTGCCATGCTGCGTTTGCTTGCTACATGTTTTTTGGGATGCTTCATTGCACACAAGCTGAACATGATCTTTCTACTCTCTCTGTCTGGTGGCTGGGAGTAAAATGAGTCCACAGGCCGCTCATGAGCAGAATATGCACCCGACGAGTCACAGTTGTCACGCCGTACTGTGCTTTCTGAACCCCGATTGTTTTTTCTTAATAATCGTTTTTGCGCAGAAGCGTTACTTTCCAATCCGTATGGCGATCTGAATGACCAACATATCGAGTGTGCTGTGCTGGGTATCTCACCGAAACAAATTTTGCGTTCCCGCTTCAAGACGTTTCGTTTGCTTGTTTGCATCCCAGTCCTCCCGACTTGAGGTTTTGACCGCATGCACATCAATGTGATTACAATCATGCCGATGATTATGAAGCACATAAAAAATACTCCTGCTATCGCAACTAGAATTAACGCTTCCATCGACAATGCCGTTAAGTTGATACTTTCAGGCTTTTGGTTCTTTAACCTGGATTCGTTTTCTGTTTTGTTTGATACGGCGATTAATTTTCTGTGAAACACCTCTGCTGTTGGTGTTTCTGGACGTTTTCTCATTACTTCAGCGCAATTATTCAGGGTTTGTTCCCTCTGCCTGCTTCCGTAAATGTCCGGTCTTGTTCTACATTCAACATGATCCACTGCATACAAATCCGTAGGTTTTAACGAGAGAAACGAATATCCTTTCCATGGACCAACATTTGCGCACACAAAATCTAACGCTTCTTTTTTGTACGTCATGTAACCGGACGAAATCGTTTTGCGTGTCACGTGATCTTCCATCTTTTCCACCAGCGTGCTCAACCAAGCAAGTCGGCAGTCGCAAATAAATTCATTTCCGCTTATGCTGAGGCCGCCGAACCACTCAGATGTGGGTGCGTGTGTATGGATCAAGTCTACACTGTCGTCCTTATCGTAATTTCCTCCATCAGTACTTTCTCCCGCCAGCCAAATAGGCCTTATTGGTAGAAGGTTTTCCAAGTAGGTCTGAAATCCCAGCGCGATACTGCAGCGGTTTAATGTAGTCAAGTGATTATACCGTAGATCCAATCGTCGAAGTCGCCGATTTTCCAGCTCTTTTGTCGAATGCCTCAACACGGGATCCTCTACGTTGTCCAATCGGTTTCCGGCAATCACCAAGTGACTCAATTTAGTCGTAAACTTGAATGCATCATACGGTATATGAGTCAATTCGTTATTGTTCAATATTAATATTTTGAGGTGCTGAAGGTGGACCAACCCCAGCTGCAGCAGAGGACGACTAGATGATCGTTTGTTTTGTATCCACTGGTGATCCGCAATAACCTTCCACGGTGTTATCGTGCCATCATCAAACATGTTTGATTCCAATTGGCAACCAATCAAACTCAATACCTCCAGCTGATCTGCCAGTGGTTTCAAGGCTCTTGACCAGTCTGCACGATAGCCACTGATATCCACACTAACCATTCTGAGGTAGTTCAAGTGTAGCTCCCTTAAGTGAATCAGATTTTCAGCCCAGTATTCATCCACATATCTTAATGGATTGGCACTGAGATGGAGCACTCTAAGGTTAGCTGGGAACGCATTACGTGGTAAGTAGGTGATTCCGCTTTCTTGTATACTGAGATACGCCAGCGAAGTAAGCCCAGTCATGTTATCTCCGAGCCAGCGCGGCACTGTATAAAGGGGACTGTGATTTTGATTTATTGTTAACCTTTTCAAATTGTGCATCAGTTGTAGTCCATCCAGCGCACTGTGATGCGCACTTGTCAAACCGAGGTGGTTCTTGCTTAAATGTAGCGTCTCTAGATTTATAGATAAATTGTGGGCTATCCATAATCCGACTGCTGACTTCCGCTCATCTGAATGTTCATCTGTTTTCACGATACTCGTTATGGCACATTCGTTTAGGACAAGCACTTTCACCTTTCGGTTAGCTGTCTCTCCCAAGTCTAGCACACTCAAACCTTTTGCATTTTGCATTCGGGAACCTTTAAGGCTGAGAAGTTCTAGTGCACCCAGGTTTCGAGCCCAGCGTTGTGCGTTCCTAAGCAACTTCCAACCCTCTTCTTGGTATTCGAGATGCAGCTCGGTCAGGGCCGCATTTTTCATCTGGAACGCCTCGTCGGAAATCTCCGAAAGTCTGTTGGCCTCGAGATGTACGTATTTAAGCTTCGCTGCCCAGTCTCCGAATCCCATTTTCGGAATTCCTTCGGATAGATCTACAGACACTAAGTGCAACACTTCCAAATTCTCAAGCCTTTTGAGTTCTTCGAACAAATTTCCCGTTAGCGACTCCGTTCCTTCTTGATTTATAACGCGCAGTTCTCGTAATCTAGTAAGACCTTGTAGACATTCAGGCTCCCATTTAAGCAGGCGTGTTTCCATGATTTCAAGTGTATGCAACACTACGTTAGATGTCCAACTCGTTGCGTTCACGAACGCGTTCCGCGAACAGCGTTTTATTCCCGCATGCCCTCTTATTTGAATTTTTGATATTGGAATTCCATCTGATTGAATTATGGGTAGCGCATCTCCAAAGGATTGGCTGGCTTCTTTTTCACAGACCAACATGTAAGCCTCTTGTTGCGTGCTGTCCTTTATGTTGAAGCATGGAAAAAATCCCTCAATACCGCGCAATTTCTGAATACTTTCACTAGCATATTCCACTGCACACATTGAACACAGTATGTTAAGTGCAAACAGTGCAGATTTTCCCATAAGTCACCAGGTATGGTCTTTGTCTCTTGCTACTTCTCTAGCACGTATGAAAAGCATTTATGCTATCCAGTCTTTTCATCTATTCGTATGAGTACGCAAATTGCATTTTGCTAGTATCTGCTTCACTCGTGAGTCCTTCTGTTGTGTCTTTCTGTCTTCAATGTTGCTTGTGTGCACATGTGGATGGCAGAAGCCTCAGGTATTCATTGGCTGTAGTGCACGTATGTGGTCTTGTGCAATTGTGTGCGCGGTTTTGAGTAACTAGCGATTCAACAGTCTAGTAGCGTTTGCAACTCTGCACGCAAAGTGGTCCTGTAGCCCTAATACATACATGCAGTTTGGCAATATTTAAGTGTTGCTCTTCCCAACACTGGCAACACCCAAATATTGCGATTCAGGATACGGTCCTCGAGATCGGATTGACCGAGGTTTACCTCAAAGTGAACCGAGGTCTCAATAGATGTTACGAGTCGCAACTCAAACGCACAGCGTGCTCCCTAAATTCATCTTTGAATACATACAGTTTTTTCATCTGACATGCTTTCGGCTCACGCCAGTGCTATAGGTACACATTTTATATGGAGTGCAACTTAATCATATGAGTAATGCTCGAATGTTTCTTTGCCCCTATTTTTGTATCTTTATTTATATGTTGATTTTTCTCCGCTGTTCCTCAGCTTCTCACATTTCCCGATCGACAACGAATATTGGGAGATTCGGCGGCTCGTGATATATCGGATAATCCCGCTGCCACATTTAACGGTTTTTTGTCTGTTCCGGCCTCCTCGCTTTCACTATCCGACTCTCTTAATCTGAACTTGGCACATTGCCACATCGATGTGGATATTAGTTTATCTGATCGGATACATCGGATTGCTGATGGCTTGACAGCTGCTTCTGAAGCGTTGGTCAAATTTTTTCCACCCAACTCCCCTGATCTCGGTGCATGTCCTTGGTGGCATACGATCGGTTTACGCTCCAACCGTTCGCATGTATCGCCTCCGAATACAACGCGGCACTCCCAGCGTGACTCTCACGATTCCTGCTTTCGATCTCAACTGGTACGTTTGCGCACTAGTCAGCGAGGAAACATTTTTCATCATTCTCATCGGGTTATCGTGTATTCTTCTTATTTGATCTACACCTTTCTTAAAATCCTTTGCCCCCCTTCTTCTCTTCCTGTTGCAACAGCCCTTCCTGATCGTTGATTCTTCGACCGCTTACTGCCTTGAAGGCGACACCATCAACCCACGATCCACAGATATTAGCAGTCGCTTAAGTTGCAACGTTTCCTGTGTTAGCTTCGAAATTCTACTGCGTTTTCCAATTCCACTAGAAGCAGTGAGTCTTGTAAGTTCCTCAAATTGGACTCCACTTACTCACCATTTTAGCACATGTGACAATCTGACTTCCAACTCAGCTGTTACAGGTTTCGTTTTGTGTGAGGGGATAATGAATAATGCATATTATCTTATAGAAACAGTAGGAAATCTAATTATGTACATCTCCATAGAAATATAGCTGTCTGTCAGCACCTTGATCATTCTTCGAATTCTCACGTGAGATTGTAAAAACTTACAACCCACAGTAAATTTGGACTCACGTGAGATATCATTGCCAGTGGATAATCGTTCTCGGGATCTAACGTTAGAGAAACGCACATCTGACACTGTTTTGATTATCAGCACGGAGTTTATTTCCACTATATGCCCCGGCAAACTGTTCCACTCATTGACCACTCTCCGTTTAAAGCACAAGTGATAAGGAACTTATTTCAACTCTGGCGTCCGCGTGTGCTGCAGAGTGTTCGCAAGTGGAGCATTGACCTCAGCAGGGTGAAATCATCCAGATGTACCATTAAGTCGACCTCTGTAGAATGGGGTACATCTGGTAGCGACATGTTGTACCCGTTAAATCTCCGCATCGCTTCTAGTGGTCAGGCGAATCGTACTCTAGCATTGATATTAAGATGTAGGAGGAGGCGAGTGGCAATCTCCTCGGACCAAATATAGACGCTATCTTTGAGCACCCAGAGCATGCGCAGTCCGTTCCTGTGTTGTTTGTTCATGTTGTCCAGGGACTTCGGGTCGGAATATGAGAGTAAGCTTAGGTACTTAATGTAATGTTTAGATGTAGCAGTTGACTGTCAAGCATGTAGGTTCGGCCGTCGCTGTTCTTCGTCAGGTTCATGAATACCGACTTAAATGCGTTAACCAGTGGGCGGACATCTGCAGACCAAACTGAGACGATAGATGTCTTGCTGAAGTAGGCTGCAATCCTGTGAAGTGATACTTACTCTTCAGATCCTCTGCAAACAGAGCGCACGACTACGGAAGAAGCCGTTGATTGTTGATTCAAGTCAGGCGCAATTTAGACCCTAGCATCAAGCCTTGGAGTATGCCACCGGTCGTAGGACACCATTCGCTTAGGTGGCTATCGACTTGTGCCCTCCTTTCAACCAACAATAACCCCACGGATCCACTGTTGCTGTGCGCCATTAACAGCGAACACTCACAAGTTACCGGAGACGATGTTATCGTTAACCTTGTCGAACGCTTTGCTGATATCAATGTAGATCACGTCGGCAGAGTTCCTCTGGTTCACTGTTTCGTCACGTACAGGTGGTTAATGCATGAGTGACCTGTAGTAGACTGTTCTTTACGATCTTGTCAACCTTTGTCCAAGCTAGATGTCAAACAAATTGATCTATAATCGTCTACGTTGCTATTGTCACCGCTTTTTAGAATCGGCTTTACCAACGAGCATTCTCAGTCAATCGGCATCGACCCTCCAGACAACGGCCTGTTGAATAAGTCAGTCACAGTAGGTAAGATGTTGGCCGATAAGGACTTGATAATCAGTGGCTGGAGTTTGTCAAACCCATCAGGTTTGATGTCTTCAAGGTTGGCAAGTAGCTGATGCACCTCTTCAACACCGCAGTGCAGGCTGTGAAGCTCGTTAAAGGTAGTGCACGAACTCGATCCATATTCCTGGTCATTTTCAAACACGGAAATGAATTGCGCCGTTCGTCTGGACGCACCCGTAGTGATTGAGGTTAAGGACTGTCTGTCCGAGCCCCCTTGTACTATCAGATCACCTGCTGGATTGAGACGCCACTTCACGTACGCAAAGATTCTTTTCGGAGCGGTGTTTGCGGCGTTCGCGAGCTGCTATTCGAAATATCGGCGCCTACTCGTTTTTGCATTGTTGCAACTATTTCGCTGCTTTTCATACAACCGGTACTCGTCGATTGAGCCAGAGATGAAGACTTTGTCCCACAATTTGCGCCGCGGTCGAGCTAGACTATCATATCCATGGTCGCACTAATCTGGCTTGATTGGTGCGACTTTCTGATATTTGGGAGGCGTATAAGACTTACACGTTAGGTTACTCTTTATTACTGACGAACAATCTCCAACAGATGTAGATTGCGACAGAGACTAGTCCACTTGACTCGCTGCTTGAATTAGGTCATGGAACTCCCTTCTTCAGTATTTGTAAACTGGTTGCATTGTGTATTACTGCTGTAGTGCTTTCTCAATTTTGGTAATGAGAACTGAGTGGCCGCTTGCCGTCAGAGGCCTCGGGATCTGGTTTTCCATGCGCCTGTCCACAGCTTGTTAACATCAACTCTAAGCACGACGGTTTGAACGCGGTTATGGGCGTCAGTTGGCAAACGTTTTGTGTCGCCTCAGTTTTAAATACCATTTCAACGAACTTTGCTTCGGCGTCGCAGTATCCTGTTAAACTTCTGGCTAGGGTTTTCGAGGACAAAGTGCAATCGCCGATGAGTACACAATGTGGTCCGAGAGATGCAGCTGCCATTCCTAAGAGATTGCAAATTTAAGACCACCTATTGTATTGATTATTATGTTGTAGTTTTCGTCTCTGATTCACATATTCACCCACCATACTTTCACTTTTTGAATAATTTTGGCTCCTCTGGTCCTTACTACGTCTTTAACATCAACTCCTGTTGTGGACACGTGCGCTTCCATCACACACTTTATCCTGTTGTGAGATACCATTATTCCACTAGTGTAGACTGTCGCAGGCTATGCAGTTCATCGTCGCTGAAATCGATTAGCGATTTTATTGAATCAGAAATAGAAGCGGCAACAAAAATTGGTGTTTTTTGTCAGTATTCACTTCATACGTCTGCCAAGCTAATCTTCACTAAGCAGGGATGGGAGCCGTAATAAGACGGCACTTTTAGCTATTCAAATGCACCCGATCGTTTCGGTGCGCCTTAGAACACACCACGTCACTAATATACTTGTTCCATTAACAAACCTGAGAAGCAATTTTTGTTCACTATTTTTATCTTTACCAGTCGATTCGACTTCGGTGTTGGCTCTTCGTTAGCTTGCTGTTGATTTACCGTTTTCGTTTGCTATTCAACCATCGTTTTCCCCTCCCCAAATTTATTAGCACCGCACGTGTTCTCTTTCCTGCCCTCTTTCTCCCCTTCGTGTGGCGTCCATTTTTTCGACAGCTCAAGTGTGGCGGTGGTGTTCGACATTAACAAATTACCAGTCATAATAATATTCATAATAATAGTAATAATAATACTAGGTATATTTCTCACCGAGTGAGAAACTGTGGCCCTATCTGGCACAGATCATATTATACCGTATATGCTCATGCATGAATGATAAACATTTATATGATTTTCATTGCTTTTGCTGTTTCAAGGGATTGTATTAACTCACAGGTATGTTTCGACGCAATGTGCACTAGTTGGAATAGGAGATAGTAACAGCACTATAGGTGTATCACACAGTATGAAATTATTTTTGTTTCACTCAACTGATGTTGTCTGGCCCTTCTTGGTACAAATCATCGTGATCTCTCCCAAGAGAACAGGGTTATACTCGTGTTTACCCCTAGGTAATTGGTGATCTTAGTGTGAAAGGCCGTTGCGCTCTCACAAGATCGGATTGTGACTGGGAGCTTATTCCACAGGACAGCATATCTGATAAGTCAAAAGTAAGGCCGCAGATTTACCCTGCATCTGGGTACACTCAGGGTAAACTCCTTATTACGTATCCCCCTTGTCGAACTATGTTGTAGTTCTAGGAAGCGCAAACAGCACTGGGCGTTTGGATGAATCATGTTGTACAGAAGCATCCGATTGTCTCAATCTTCGTAGCCAAAGCGGATCGAGCTGGAATTGTCATCAGCTCTCCGATAGTTCTTAGTGCATGTTTTGTCTAGCATACGTTTGGTAACTAACCTCTGTATACTTTCCAGAAATACTCTGTCTGATTTCCAAATACTGCCACAAATGATGTTGCAGTATTCCAAAATGGGGCGAGTTAGTATTTTGAAGAGTTCCACTCTGGCTGCGGTTATGTGGATCTTATGCGGTATATTAGTCATTGATCTTCTGGGCTTAGCCAGCTGGTATTCCGCTTGTTCGGAAAAGTTGAAGGTGCAAGAATTCCTGATTCCGAGGTCACGTGTAGGTATTCGTCGTTGAGTGTACTTGATCCCTCGAGTATCGAACAGCCGCGTTGCATGATGCTAAATTTTTTCGCCGAGAACTTCATCATCCAGGTGTCACACCATTTATTAAGGTAGTGGTCTTCTTTTTTGAGCCGTAGTTTATCTTGAAGTTCAGTATGTGGGAATTTGTATACTATCTTTATGTCGTCTGCAAATAGGAAAGGCATGCCTTGTCTGCTAACCGCTCTGATGTCCTTGATATAGAGGAATTTGCATCATTCACTGCTCATTGCCATTAGGTCTTCTGAGGATGTAAAATCCATACTGTACTTTCTTATTGCGTTGATTATCCACTCCTGGGGTTTGTGGCCTCTAAATATTTGTCATTCTTCGTACTTCACATGTTTTCTATCCCCGTCCTCTTTGTTTTGTTATACTCATTCCTGGTAACGTACGTTTTACAATTCAAATACCTTGTATATTCTCGTTTTCAGCGAGGCGCACTTGATACCTCATGTTTAGTTTACTAAAAGCATTTTCTTATACATCGACCACCAATGACCGGAAAAAGACGACGAAGGTGCAAATCGATTTTCACTTCTGACAGGGCATAACCGTTGATTGCTTTTTCGGTTCGTTATTTGGTGCTGCCCAGGATGTCTTTGTCAAGTTTGGTTGGCCCCCTTTGATACAAAATTATTTTTGATCGTAGGAAAATGGGTTCAGCGTCAGTATAAATTATGCTTAAATTTTTTTAATACTTTTGTAACATTTGCTTTGCTCAAGGCTATTTAGTAACGTTGGTTGTTGTTTGTGGTACTCACATGTGACTGGAGCCTTTAGGGTGCCTGTAAGGGAAATGCAAGAGTACGCTGCAATAATAGGATTAGGGACATCGACGA